GTCCGTGCAACAACAAGGAAGTTATAAAGAATAAATGAAAATAGAGCCCTAAACAGAATCAAATTTAGTTTACGGCCAACAATGTTCAACTCCGTAGCCTTGTAATTTTGAACTTAATAGAGAATGCAAGGGAACTCAAGCATAGAGAGAAATTTGATTTCATGGAGGACTTTTTGATGAAATTAACCAACATTTGCGTTACATGGAGAGGAAAACCCCGAAAACCTCCCAACAGTTTATGCCAATACAATTCTGTAATCAACAGTGTTTGATGAGTAATTAAATAGTATACAGTTGTGTGTCTTTAAAATTTCGAGAAGTATCTTTGTTTTTATGTATTTAACTTCAAAAGAATTTTTTTTATCTTCATCCAAATCGGTTGTCATCAATTTAAACTGTAATGAAATTATATTTTAAAAAATCTAAAAACTGTCAAACATGCAGTTTCAAATTAAATACTCAAAAACACATAATCGCATCACCTTATTGCTTTAAAGTTTTGAGGAAAAATCCATAGAAGTTCTAAAAATTACCAAGCGCTATTTTTCCTAACCTAATAAAGCCAGATCTTTATTTTCCACCTTTTTTTAAAAAACTTATTGATATGTATAACAATATTTTATCATCAAAAGTTTGTTAAGTACAAAACAATATCAAGAAAACACAAATTCAAATTTTAAAAGAAAATCCAATATGGCGAAAGGTAGAGGCTTTTTTATGTTCATTTTTTACCTTTTACCTATTTCGCCATATATAGAGCATTCTTTTTAGAGAATCGAAAAAGTTTAAATTATTTTTTATTTTTCATGTTTTTATTTAAAAATAGTCGAAAAAATTTCAGCAGTAAGATATTAAAAGTTTTACATAATTCTTAAAGAATATTACTTATACAAAATACAAAATTCAGCTCTATCGGATTATTAGTTTCTGAGCTATGGAGTTTTTAAAAAGTCGTATATTATACCATATACAATCTAAAAATAAATAAGTTTAAACTCGTTGATGTTTCTCATAACTGCTCTAAACTTTAAAGAAAGTAAATGTAAAGATAATTGTTATAAATGTTTAATTGTTAGATGTTGTAATGCAATTTTAGTTGCAAATCAGACGAAAATATATTTCAAACTTTTAAATAAAGAGATTCGCCAAAAATTTTCATCATTGCCAAACACAAACAGTAATTATCATTATTTAAAGAAAACGATTACTAACAAGTAAACTTATTCTCGAAATCTCCCTCAACTGATCGTTTTCTAGGAAAATAAACAAATGAAGAGGAGCGAAACTAAAAATGACATCGTCGATAAAAGAATGTAAACAAGAACATAATGAGACAGATAAACTGGTCACTCGACAAAATTTATGACCTCGCGAATCTATACAAAGCTCACGACAATCGTGCAAACAATAATGACGAAAAAAACTGACATAACTTTTCTATCATCCTTTGTTGACATGTGTATGGACATTTACAGCATCCCTACTCAAATCAGGCAATTACGAACTCAAATTGGCTTTATTTCTGTCATCAAATATTTGAGGGTCGAAAATTGTTATGAATTGAATAGTAAAAGACAAGCAAGCGCAGTAAATGTGCCTTTAAAATTAAGATAGATGATTATCTTTATTATTCTTGTGGTTATTAGATTAGATGTCTTTTTTTCTTCTCTTCCCTATAAGGTTTTTTTTTTCTTTTTTAAATTAGATTTTTATTAAGAGCTCAAAATTGCCAACATTTAAGAAAAAATTCGTAAAAAAAATATAATAAGAATTACTATATAGCTGTGGGAAACGTTGTATTCCATTATGAATATTATAAGGTTCTATTATGAAAAAAAAGGTATAGATTTTTTATAATAGAAAATATTTATTAAAAAAAAAACTTCTTAGTAACAGAACTCTAAATAATCAATATCCAATAACTAATTCATAAAAAAATATTTGAAGGAATAAATAGCGAAGGGAAAACTTGTACTTCATCATAAAGATTATGTGGAATTCTGTTAAAAATGAAAATTAACTTCTCAGTAAAAGAACTGGAAATTGTCAACATTCAAGAATAATTCGTAAAAAAGATTTTTGAGAATAAATATGAGGGAAAACTTCTATTTCATTAGGAATATTGTGAAGTTATTTTATGAAAATAAATATGGAGTTAACTTTACTAATGGAACTTCTGTAAATGAACTCCATAGTAACAAAAATCAAAATCGCCAACATTCCAGAAATAATTCGTCAAAAATATTTTAAGAATAATTATAGAGCTGCGGGGAAACTTGAATCCATTAAAAGTATAATGAAGTTCCATTACGAAAATAAATATGAATATTTGTTTCAAAATGGANAGTTATTGAAAAAAGAATTATTGCATTTAGTAAAAAATTAAAATTTAAATTAAATAGGATTACATTTCCATATTTATTTCCAATAGTTAAATTTCATAAAAATCCAATAAAATTTCTGCTGCTTTTTAGCGCGTTTTTTTCAAAGAAGTTTTTTCCTTTTGATCTTAATTATTTGTGTTTTCTTTCAGTATTTCAAAATGGAACTTATTTTTGATAATTAACTTCTTAGTAACGGAATCTAAAATCGACAATATTCGAGAAGTAATTCGCAAAAAAATATTTTAAGAATAAATATAAAGTTGTAAGAAAACCTTTACTCCAATACGAAGTTATAGAAATAAATTTGGAACTTATTTTCTTGGTATAACTTCTGTTTGAAAATTAGATAAGTTAAAATTTTCAATATTTAAAAGGTATTTGTAAAAATATATTCAACGAATAAATATGAGACAGTGGGAAAACGTGTATTACATTATAAATATTACATAATTCTCAATGAAAATAAATATAGAGCTTATTTTCAGGCTAAAACTAATTTTTTAAAATTAGCTACTTAGTAACAGAACTCAAAGTTGCCATCATTAAAGATTCGTAGGAAAATATTCGAAAATAGATGTGTATCATAACTTATTAAGGTACATTATCTAAACACTCAATATGGTAGGCGTAAGAATTACTGAAAATTTGGCCAATAAAAGAATTCAAATTTGTCACAATTTAAGAGAGTTTCATAAAACTGTTTCGAAGATAGATGTTAATCTTAATAAGTAACTTGTTAAAGGTAAGCACTCAATAGTGTAAACATTGAAATTGGTAAACACTCATTAGTCTACACTCAAATTGACTAAACACTCAAATTTGTTGGCGTAAGACCAACTGAAAATAACCTCAGCAACATAATTCAAATTTGCAAACATTTTAAAGTGTTTCAGAAAAGTCTTTCAAGAATAAAGAAATAGCTGAGTGGATTATAAAACTATAAAAAGAACGAATAAAATTATAAAGAGAAAACTCTCAAATTTAGTCGTGCAAAAATTAAACATTAATTTAAAAAGTTAACAGTTTTCAATAATTTTTCTGGCAGATTTTACATTTTAAAGGCAAACTTTTTTCAAATTCTTTAAAATATTATTTAATACTAGGAGGCTCCGCCCCCTGCTCGCTAACGCTCGCCAACCCCCGAGAATTGCTACGCAATCCTATGTGGTTCACGCCGTGAACCATGGCTCGCTGCGCTCGCTCGCCAATGAACACAATGTTCTAGCACAAAGACATAATATATTATCATCAAAGACATAGTATTTTATCATCAAAGACATAGTATTGTACTTATGTAGAAGAATTCTACCAATGTTCTTATTGGCTTTTAAAAAAGTATATTAGCTATTTAGATTGTACATGGTGAAAAAATCAAAACATTAGCTAAATAAGAAACATATTAGCAAAATAAATTATCAAATATTGCTTCACTAATATTCTGCATTTTAAAGCGTGAAAATTCAATGCATAAATAAACGCGAAATATAAAAAAATTCAATGCATTCAATACAAACACTTAAACGTTTTTTAGACGTTTAGGTAGCTCCCAGTAGAAAAATATCAATTCAACAGCGGCCTTTTAAAGCATTCTCACTTCAATTAATTAATTAATTCCTAATTGAGTTTAAATTAAATATTGTCATGTTTTTAGTGCATGAATCTGAATTGAACAACCTGATAATGCTCACTCTGGTTATTGTTATCTGGTTGCTCACTACGTGCTCTTGCGCGCCGAATCCAATCAATTAAAAATGAAAACTGTTGCCAGCGCGAGAAAAGAAATATCATCGGTTTTATTGATACATACATATATACGTACAGATTAGCGTTTTATATAATATAGATATTACTACGATGCGCTCTTGAATTTTCAATTCTTTCAAAAACTGAGTTTTTATTAATTGAAAGTCAACTTACCATTGTACCACTTATGGTACTCAGAGCTATCCGTATCTATCATGATATGTGTGATAGTTCCAATAAAGAGTTAGAACTATAGTTCATTATCATCATTGATGTTGTATAACTAGAAGAAAAATATTAACATTTAGTCAAAATAGAATTGCAAGATTAAATTTGTAACATTATTTATTAATTTGTTATTAGGTATTCCTATTTATTTATTTAATAAATATGCTCCTCGTAAAATAATTTCCATGACAAAGTAGTGCAAAAATAATAATTAAAATTAAATGAAACCAAAATTATCAATCTATTTAGGAAAAATTTGAATTCGTCAACGGATCCTTGATTGATTATTATTAGATCGTAGAAATGAACCCTTGGCGAAGTATTTTACAGTAAAAATAGACAAATCACATTTTTTTTCTAAAAATGGGTTTCTCAATTATTTCATTGTAAAAGTCAAACCCTTTAAAAAAAATCTTTTGTCTTGAAAAAGAACCTTCCACAGTATTTTTCATTTTAAAAATGAACCTTTCACAAAATTCTTCCTTTGAAAAACGAAATCAATGACGTCATTAATTTATAAAGTTCAAACTCCAACTTCTTTAAAAGACATGGCCTTTTTATTTTCCCACAAACGAACAAACAAACAAAAAAAAAAAAAAAAAAAAAAAAAAAAAAAAAAAAAAAAAAAAAAAANAGTCAACTTACCATTGTACCACTTATGGTACTCAGAGCTATCCGTATCTATCATGATATGTGTGATAGTTCCAATAAAGAGTTAGAACTATAGTTCATTATCATCATTGATGTTGTATAACTAGAAGAAAAATATTAACATTTAGTCAAAATAGAATTGCAAGATTAAATTTGTAACATTATTTATTTATTTAATAAATATGCTCCTCGTAAAATAATTTCCATGACAAAGTAGTGCAAAAATAATAATTAAAATTAAATGAAACCAAAATTATCAATCTATTTATGAAAAATTTGAATTCGTCAACGGATCCTTGATTGATTATTATATCGTAGAAATGAACCCTTGGCGAAGTATTTTTACAGTAAAAATAGACCAATCACATTTTTTTTCTAAAAATGGTTTTCTCAATTATTTCATTGTAAAAGACAAACCTTTTAAAAAAATCTTTTGTCTTAAAAACGTACCTTCCACAGTATTTTTCATTTTAAAAATGAATCTTTCACAAAATTCTTCCTTTGAAAAACGAAATCAATGACGTCATTAATTCATAATTTTAAAACTGCAACTTCTTTAAAAGACATAGCCTTTTTATTTTCCCACAAAACAGCACCGTATTTTCTCAGATTCACTAAACGGAAGTTTTGACAAAAAAAAAAAAGGGGGGGGCGGGGTAGATGAACAGGATTTAGACTTTTTCTTTACTTAATATCTGACGAAATCAGAAAATTATGAGTAGATTTTTCACACTTTCACAACAAATCTGCAACAACCTTGGTCAACCCACAACGATTTTTATAACTATAGATAGAATCGCAATTACCATATGATATAAAACTCACTCAACATAAAATAATTAAATATTGACTGTGTCAATGAAAGCAGAAAATTAGACACAATATATATTTATAAAAAATTTTAATTTCGATACTCAAATTCTTATGAAATCACAATGGCCCATTGTAATTACTGGTCTTTATTATTTATTTATTGCTTTACAACATTAGTAAATGTAGTGAACTAAATGTAATAAGCTAAATGCAGCAAAACAATAAAATAAAATAAAAAGATAAGCTACATCGAAATTTAAAGTTCCTAAATCTATAATGAAATATTAATCTCATTTCCTTGGTTGATCAATCAACAAATTAAATAAAGCTATAGAGACGGAAAGATGAATGATTTTATCATTGGGCTGCCAATTTATTTCAAGTCATTAATCTTCACTCAATTTTGTTCCAATTATTATTTATTATTTTCATTTACTCATTTTAACGCAGACGATAATCGAATGGTTCTACGCAGAAATTTAATGATGCTTCTGTGAAACAAGAGATCATCATACACTATCGATTTATCGTTTGAGAGATTATGCAAACGGATCTCTTATCTCAAACGATAAAAAAAAAGAAAAAAAGAAGAGTTTATTTATTTGCAGGAGAATCCAAATTAAGACTTTGAAAACACGAAATACAGCAGCGGAAACAGGAAGTTTTAAAATAAAAATCATAAATATACGTGGCTCACACATCTACTTAACACTTATAACATATGAGGCTGCTCATATGTATCGTTATCATATGTAACTTAGAGGGATTTTGGCATTTGATGTGGATAATGCATGTCGTATTATTTTTATTTGAGAAAAATGTCAGCAAAGGTACGACTTCTAGAAAAATGAATTGTAGGCTTAACAAATAAATATACAGGACAAGGCAAACTGCACTTACGTTTGATAAGAATTTGTTTATAAATACACATGAATTTAATGCACATTAATTTAATTTTAATTTAAGTATAAAATTTCCGAAAACTGTCTCAACGTTGATACATTTTACAAAGCTCTCTACAATATTATACATCTTAATGAATTTAATTTTCAATATGTGTACGTATTACAAATTATAATATTTTTAAAATTTATACTATTGTATGGTTACAGATTTAGTTTAAATGATTTTATTTCTATTTAATTTTTCTAAAATATAATATTATTTATTTTTACCTATCATCTTAATTAACTTTTAATAAATGCCCTAATCTGACAGCTTATTAATTTGAATTTAGGTGAGCGATTTGCGTTCTATTTTAATTTATTATTACTGCTTTTTCCTAGTGATATAAAAGAAAAGAATTTAGTGAAATATCTAGCAAATTCCTTATCTGCTTGATTTTATTTTAAGCGCTTCTATTATATACCCCGCTGATATCCAAATTAAAAATGTTACCATATGATTGTAATTTAGCATAGAAGGTACAAATTATGAAAAATTCCACGTTTTCTCATCACTTTAAACGACCTCAACGATGCTATCTAGAATAACGAGAGAAAAAATGGTGATGACAGAATTTAAAAAATTCTTATAAATTAAAAAGATATTTTAATTAACTTTCATAAGAAAGAATGCCAAAATGTTCAGACATTTCTAAATGTACTGAACATAATTAAATATTTTAATGGATTTATTTTTTCTGACGTACGTTTATCTTGGTTTAGTTTTATAGTGTATCCTCCAAATTTATTTTGATGATTTTATTTCGTCATTAATTTATATATTTTAGCGTATTCCTCTTGGAATTTAATGAATCTGACAAATCCTTCATTTGAATTTATTGAGTGAATTTATATATTATTGTGTTTCTGGTTTACTTTATATTAAAGGTGGATTCAAATTTTTAAGTGTTTAATTAGTGAATTTATAATAATTTATAACATTCTATAATTTATATAACCAATTCATAATTAACGAATTTTAACTTATACAGGATTAGTGAATTATTATAATTTTATTAATGTATTTAAATTTTACAGTGTGTCTATTCTAATTTATTATAGTGAATATAAATTTTAAAGTGTATCTAATCTACTTTATTGTAAGTAAATTTATAGTGTATCTAGTCTACTTTATTATTATTAAATTTATAGAGTATCTAGTCTACTTTATTGTCAGTAAATTGATAGTGTATCTAGTCTACCATAATCTATCTTGTATTATAATCTTGTTAGTAAATTTATAGTGTTTCTAATCTACTTTATTGTTAGTAAGTTTATAATATATCTAGTCTACTTTATTGTTAGTAAATTTATAGTGTATCTAGTCTACTTTATAATTAGTAAACTTAAAAAAATTTATAGTGTACCCGCTCTATTATAAGTGAATTTAAATATATAAATTGTTTCACATTTTCCACAAGGAATTATTTTAGCGAAATATCTGAAATAATTCTACAATTTATCGATTAAAAGGATCTCGATAATTAATAAGAAAAAGGATATCGAATATGAAAATATTACTATCATTATTGATAGTGATATCGAATACGATAATATCGCGATCATTGTTAACAAAATAAATTTATCGAATACGATAATATCGCTATCATAATCTCGATAACATCAGAAAATAATATTGTGAATAGCATAATTAATGATAATTATCAAGCATTGATTACGAAAATATTGATTATTGTAAAAATGAAAAAGCAGTCACCTACAACCGACAAGTACGACAATTTTTGAATTTTACTTTTAGTAGTTTTATTATACCTAATGCATAACTGGTTTTTTTTTTCTTTTTTTTTTTATGTTACCGAAATAACAGTGAAAAACCGTAAAAACTGTAAAGAATTTCTCCTCTTCTCATTTAAATCAACCGGTAAAAAGTGATCTACAGCAACAGGGGGTAAAAATGCAGGAGGGATTTAAAAAAAATAAATCTAAACGCATTTTTGAGCATATTTAGATTTTTTTTAACCTCTCTCCCCTGTAATCCTCGTTAAGAAATAAGCGAACCATTCAAATTCATCCTCCTACCTTGCTTAAACCCCAGATTTTCCCTCAACACTCAAAAACCTTTTTATATTTTGAAGAACTCTCCTGAAAAAAGAAAAGAGGGCGCTTTATTTTCAAATGCATTCAGACAGAATTTTTTTTTTCTACTACTGACTTCATTTCACTTACATGCTGGTTTTTCAATAAAACATTTAAATAAGTGTGAGCGAGCCTTGCAAATTTGATAAATGGTGGCGTAATCACGATTAAGAGGTAATTTAATTTTAAATATTAACAATTTACAATTTTAAAAATTCACTATAGAGGCATGATGAACCACAATATCCATATCGCCGATTTAAACTGTATTCGTTATTTTTATTGTCAACTGCGTAAAGACGAAATTTTCTCCTACAAGTAATCATTTCATCTGCCTAACTGCCAACATGAAAAGAAAAAAAATCCACAGTAGACTTTACGAAATATAAATTTCATAACTGTTGCATATACTAAATCTTTTACTTATGGCGAATTTTAGGGATTTTTATCGTCACCTAAGTACAAAAAGTTTAATACAGTAGTAACTATAAATGGTCTACATTTTTCATTTTTGATTGACTTAAAATGAACTTTAATTTGATGTTTATTATTATCCTAACTCATAATTTTGAATAGTAATAAACAAGTTATTTATTAATGATAGTTACAAGATTTTTTTAATTAATTTAAAAAAAAGGAGTTCTGAATAAAAATAAACTAACAATTTTGGAAGGAAAAAAAATGTTTAAACTGATTACTATAATTGAGGCTCGTTTGATTATGTATAAGTAATATTTATTTAAATATTCAAGAAAGCAATAAATTGTGTAAAAATTCTATTTCAATCGGTTTTCTATTCACTTCTAATTCAATTTTTTAGGAAACGTTAATTCCCGTTTAAGGAATTTTTTTAAAATGTACAAAAACAGCGAAGATTTTTATTAAACCAGTAGACCAGGAAAAACTGACAAAATCTAGTAGTCTTCTGGTACATCCTGTAGTCATCTGGTAAAATCCTGTAGTTTTCTGGTAAATCCAGTAGAGTTAGCAACTATGGCATATGCATGCGTCTTTTTCACTACAACCTCACCATAAATTGGTTTCTTTTTACGGCGGACAGATAGTTAAAAAATCTTAAATATTTGTTAGGTAAAGATTTTGCTTATTGAATTTTTATTTCTTAAAAATGGTACTTGAGAGTACCACCAGTAATCACTATAAAAAAAAATTTAAAAAGTGAGCAAAAAAAAAAAACAGCTTCAAAGAGATACATTTGTAACTATAGGTCCGATTAAGGCAGTGTTTCCCA